GTTGTTAAATTTCTATATGTTACTTATTAGGTTTAATTTTGGGGTTCTTGTTTTCCATTTTTTTTTTTTTTTTGTTTATTCCCCTGATTTTTGTGCTTATCGGATTATTCCCCTGCATTTTCCGCAGGGCAAGAAAAAGGCTGTGTCTTCCGCATTTTCCACATCAGATCCGTTCTCTTCTCAACACGGTAATGGGTGCTTTGATAAATCTGGACTGAACATGTATGATTTTTGTATTGCCTACTTCTTTCTTTGTTTTGTCCTTGCGAAATGGTTGAATACGAGGAGCAAATATTGTCATATTGTTGTTGTGTTGTCTGACTATGTGTAGTGTGTTATGTTGACGTAATTTATTGGTGCAAAATACTTCAAAACGGTTGATAATAAGTACGCATTTAACACTACATATTTATTTGCAATTTGTTGTAGCCATGGATATTGACATGGAAGAAGTCGCAGTTCTTGTGATCGTTGAGGATATAATGAATACATTGACCATTGTTTTTTTGATTGCCATGTTGTACCTGAAAATCGTGAGGCAAAAAAAACGTCGTCTTAGAATTCGAGAACAAAATGGACGGGCTTTATTCAAAATGTCTGATTGACTACCTAGGCAATTACAACATATGCAAGAGCTTATATGCATTAGTGACAGAGTATGTGTCGAACAACTACGTATGGACAGAAATGCCTTCGGTCGTTTATGCTACCTTTTAGAGCATGTTGGTAAACTAGAGAGTAGACGAAATGTGCAAATAAGTGAGCAAGTGGCCATTTTCTTGAGTGTGTTAAGTCACCATAAAAAAAACGCGGTGGTTAAGTATGATTTTAAACGTTCCGGTCAAACTATTAGCAACATTTTTCACTTAGTACTTAGAGTTGTGCTACGCTTACACCCGATTATCGTCGTACAACCTAAACCTGTTTTGGAGTCCAACACTGACTGGAGATGGAAATGGTTTAAGGTCAGTATTTATTAAATAATATGCATAAGAAATAAGTTGAAGTACGCGTATTTTTCTTTGATTGTTCTCGTATTTATTTTTAATTATGCCATCCAAGGATGCTTGGGAGCATTAGATGGAACATATGTTCCGGTACGTATTCCTAGTAATTTGCACGCGAAGTACAGAAATAGAAAGGGTAGTGTTTCTGTAAACGTGTTAGGCGTATGTGATGTGGATATGAAGTTTTCTTACATCTTGGTCGAGTGGGAAGGGTCTGCCGCAGACAGTAGAGTTTTAAGGGATGCGGTACGGCGAGAACGTGGGTTACGTGTTCCTTCGGGTGAGAGTTTCGGTTTGCAAAAAGTTTACATAATTAACACTAGGGTTCGTACACATATAAATTATAATTTTCAATTCGAAACCGTTTAGTAAGTTATTTCGGTTTGTTCGCTTCACAGGTAATTACTATCTTTGCGATGGTGGGTACACAAACGGTCCGGGGTTTCTAGCACCATTTAGGGGCGTGCGCTATCATTTGCACGAATTCGGAGAAGGTCCTCGAGCACCTAGGAATTTTAGGGAATTATTTAACTTTAGACACGCTAGAGCAAGAAACGTAATTGAAAGGGCCTTTGGAGTGTTGAAGATGAGATGGGCCGTCCTTATGAGTAAAACATTTTTCGACATAGTCACTCGAAATAGAGTGATTTTGGCGTGTTGCCTTCTTCAAAACTTCATTCGTACTACAATGACTAATGATCCAATGGAAGGTGACGATGATTTTTTTGAAATGGAGTCAAACATGGAAGAACCCCTACCCCCACCAAATGACTATGTCGAAGTGGTTGAGCCTACTAATGAGTGGACTACTTGGAGGGAAACACTAGCTATTTCAATGTTCAATGAGTGGCGTGGCAACTATTGAATTTGTTTTCGGTTATTTCATTTCTTTCATTGTAATGTTTATGTTGTGTATGTGGAGCACTTTCATGCATTATTAAATGTACTTGCGCACATTTGTTTGTTATGGAAATACATTCTTGTTTTGCCCTCCCAAATTTCTATTCTATTGTATTGTTTTTTTGGAAGTTGATTATCTTCCATTTATGGTTACATGTTGTATGTTGCCATTGTTGGACTAATTATGATTTAGCATTTAAACTGTACTAGTGATGGACTCTGCAACTAGCGTCGAACGTGGGCCAAACGTAAACAATTCACGGCGGACTTGGACGTTTGAAGAAGAACGTGCATTAATCCAAGGATTAAAGGAGCTCATTGCACGTGGAATGAAAGCTGACAATGGGTTCCGTTCTGGGTACACATTGTTTTTAGAACAATACATGCATCAACAGTTTCCGAGAACTATGATTAGAGCCGAGCCTCACATCTCGTCCAAGATAACGGTATGGAAAAAAAAACTATGTTTTACTTGCACCACTGCTTCAAAAAACTTCCGGTGTTGGGTGGTCTGAATCGGGCCACATACTAGAAGTTGAAGAACCCGTGTGGAAAGATTATGTGAAGGTTTGGATTACTCATCAACTAATCTTCTCGTTCACTTTTTGCATTTTCTTCTCGCAAGACTCCATTATTATTATTATTATTATTATTATTATTATTATTATTATTATTATTATTATTGCATACACAGCTGCACTTTATAACCATTGATGAGAACACAATTATAAATGATGTCTTGTTTTCAGAGATGTTACCATTTCATTGTGCACTTCATAACCATTGATGATAACACAATTATAAATGGTGTCCTGTTTTCAGAAATGTTACCATTTCATTGTAAACTGTAGTAGAAAAGATTAAAACGCAAGACTAACCACATAAACCTTATCAACTTCATTAGCTCCAAATTCACACAATATTAAACTTAAGTTTAACCACATCAAGATAATCATGAAAGCTTATGTCGTTTATATCTTTTACAGTTCGCAAATATTTAATCAGCAACTAATCATTAGCTCATTTACATTTCATTTCCGATTACTCATCAACTAATCTTCTCGTTGACTTTACATTTTCTGTCTGCCCTTATTTAAATTATTTATCTTTGATGCAATTTACACACCCATATCTTGTTTGCATGAAGGTGTACCCAAAAGGAAAGGATTGCGCAACAAGTCCTGGCCGTTTTACAGTGATTGGGTAGAAATTTTTGGAAAGGACCGCGCAACAGGTGAAGGTGCTGAGGGATTCACAGATGCGGTGCAAGAAGTCCTAAGTAATACTGGTGACAATGCACCTGCACAAAATGTAAGCCGTGGCGGGGGTGTTGGGGACTTCGAATCAAATGACAATGAAATTGAGTCATCTCCGCCCCATGGTGTTGAAAGTAGTGCATCCGGGAAGGGTAAAAGGGTAGGCAAACGTAGACGTTTTAAAGATGCGGAGGTTGAAGTCGTCGGCCTACTTTCTACTCTATGCGAGAAGGCCGATAAACGCTGGGGTGAAATGGTGGAACGTATTGGGGTCCAACACGACGTGAAGGAGCAACGCAAGGTTATGTATGAGGCGTTGAAGTGTATTCCCATGTTGACTACCGAACAAAGATTTATCGTAACAAAGTACTTTTGTAGGAACAAAGAAGAAATGGACGTCTTTTTCAGCGTGGACGAAGAAGAAAAAGCGTCAATGGTAAAGATGATCCTCGAAAATAAATTGTAGTTTCGAATATGAATGCTCTAAAACTTGGGTGACCTTCTATTGTGTTTTGTTATTGTCCGTAGTATGTGCGTCTTACATTTAACGGCCCTATAATGTGGCTTGCTTTTGGACTTATATGTTTTGAAATCCCGGGTGTAATATGATTGTGGTCACTGATTTCTGGAGGATTTGTATTGTTAAATGGGACATGTGGTTTGTGAAGGTTTTTGTGCAAATTTTATGTACTAGCTACTTGATTTTCATTGCGCCAGTGTGCGTGCAATATTTTGACGTCTAATTTGCGAATTTGACTTGTTATTACAATTTGTATGAGATCGACCTCATTCTTAATAATTTGCCTCACGTAGTGGTATCAATTTTTTTAAGCCGCTAGGTTTCTTTTTTTCCGCTTCCTCGTATTTTGGTTCGAATTGTCTTGTACAACCGGTCTAATACGTAATAAAAACGTGAAAAATAAATCAAACATAATTATTTTAATTCCGGTGTAACCTTTCTTTTAAGCTGTAATTTGGTCGGTATTGTCCGGTACACCCGGTCTAATACCTAATAAAAATGTTAAAAAAAACATAATTATTTTAATTTAAATAATTCCGGTGTAACCTTTATTTGAAACGGTAATTTGGTTGGTATTGTTCGGTTCAACCGGTCTAATAACTAATATAAATGTTAAAAAAAAAAATACTTATTTTAATTTCGGTGCGACCTTTATTTTAAACGGTAATTTGGTCCGTATTGTCCGGTACAACCGGTCTGTATTTTCTATAGTTGCACGTTTGAAGCGGAAATTATTTCATGTATTATGGAACGTAATGCAAACGACAAAAGACCACAAAAATTATTTGTTGTAGATATAAATATGTGTACAAATATCCGGGCAGTCAAATAATAACACAGTGTTCTACCCACACATGCGCATAGCACACCGTTTGTCTGCACTTAAAAAAATAGCAGAACAAACTACATTGTACTTCCTATTTTGTGCCCAAAGAATTAAAATGTCTGCAACCACCGCCCCACCTAACTATATGCCACCAATGAATTCTCATCATTATGGAGGCAATTGAGTAACTTACATACACTATCAGATATATTTAATTGCCTTTAATGTGTAATTGAATGGAGACCTACCAATTCACTGAACCAGAAGTCTCTCACGTCTTTCTATTTATTTCTATTTATTTGGATTGTGTTTAATTACAAAGGTCAACTTCATTTTCAGCCAATTAGCTTCTCAAACTTCATATACGTACGTTAAAGGCAAATTACTCCCAGGTGATGTTCCTGCAATTACTTCCTATACGTTCTGTGAACTCAAACATTTTATAATTTTTGTGCTTGTATTACAGGTACCATTAGCTTAAGATTAATCCAATGGATCGTCATGCTAGCATGCTACGTATTGCGGAGAGGTATCGTCGGCCCGGTTGGTCAGCGAATGAGGAAAGGGAGTGCTATCGGATTTTCTTCAACCTTTGCCATGAAACGCCCGACGTCAATGAACTTGCCATCTTCAACTCCTTATGGCACCAACTTTCCATCCACCTGACCAAAGAGCTACTCTATTATTTCTCCGTCTTGAAGGTGAAGACTAAGATTAAGGCACTCCACATGAACTACCGGGAGTTCCTCACATTTCTTGAGACTCCCGGTGTCCACGTGCATGCCGAATCGGGGCTTGTGAATGTAAATAATACGTACTGGGCATACGTGGGCCAGGTTTGTTTTACATATTCATGTGCTTTATTTCTTACGGCCCAGTCCATTTAGTCAGGCCATGCATGCACCATGTAGGCCAACATTGGTTTCCTACTACTTTATATTCTACTCCATATTTTTAATGACTTCATTCACTTCATAGGAAACGGACATGGAATACTATTTCCTTCATGTGGGGTTCTAATGGTACGAAGAGTGTGTGGAGCTGTGGGATCTTAGACGTGCAGCTGCTGTGCACATCGATGCCGGTGAAAGAGCCTTTGACCCGATCATGTTTGACGACACGGATGAGGAAAATGTTGCTGCCGATGACCCCAACGGGCCCGACGATGCTGATGCTGCTGCGTTGGATGTCGGGAATGAAGACGGTGACAGAGCCGCTGGGGTAGACCACATGAACGGCGCCGCCGGTAACATGCAGGAAGTTGAAGATGACGAAGTGGAGGTGGTTCACATTGAAGAAGACCAGGAACCAGAAGAAATGGATGTGGACACAGACGTCGATTCATGCGTTGACTCAAACTAGAAATATCTCCACGTGAAGGGTAAGTTTTTGCGTTTTGTAATGGCACAATTTGTAGTATATGGTGCGTGGAGACTGTAAGTCCGGTTTGTTTTTTTGTTCATGTCTCACTAAAACTAGCTGTTGTCTAGGTTGAATGGGTAAGTGGCATAATTTTCTTTGTACTACATTGCCACATTCAGTATATTTTGGGGGTGTTTTGTGGCGGCAGATATGGACTATTTTGGAAAAGTGAAGTATGTTGGTAAGGTATGTATGTACAACTATTTGGTCAAGTGGCTTCTCAGTTATGCAGTATAAATAGTTATGTAATATTTTTCCCTTTCACGCAGAGTAAATAGAAATTATTCCTATGAAACCATCCTTTGTATTACACACTTCCCAAGTTTCGGCTACAAAAGATAGAAATGAACACCTTTATACAAATTAGAACTTAACAGACAACTATTCTCTAGGTTGGACCTCTACTGTGTATTGTTAAAATAAGGGATGTTGCCATTTCATAGATGTCCAATATTTTACCCAAAAACAAAAAATCATTCTGCAATATTTACCACACAAAACATATTGCATTCAACGATAGATAGGCATACTTCAAACAAACGTCAATAAACATGGTACATAAAAACATCTCGAACCATAATTTGTCTACGTTAAACCACAAGACACTCAAAAGACATAAACACATGGAATACATATATTAGGCGCCTAAGTTGAATCAGTAACATGCAACACACTTCAAACATGAGGATCGCTAGTCGAACCCTTGCAAGAAGCCGGGTCTGGCTTGTGCGGTGGACGTGGCATGAGCAATGGGGTTCGACTGCCCACCCTATTAATTAAGACATAGGTATGCGTGTTGACGGAGCTTTCAGACGAGGCATCATGGGGCCCACCATGTTGGGGCAAAGTGTTGTTGCGACTACAAAGAGTCTGCAAAGCATTGTGATATGAATTATCTGAAACCACCACATTACTTCGTGCAACTGGGAGAGCAAAAAAAGCTTCGTTTGTGGAGTTGCGGTCATGAACAACTTCAGATCTCGGGTTTGTGGAGTACACCTCCTCGAAAATGAAATGCAAGTCCGCCCAACGGGGGTCACCGGAATGTTGATAAGCAACACTAAAAGCGTTGGACTGAAATATTACACAAAATAAAATGTTTACATAAATTGACATAAAGTTCACTCACACGTGAAGTTAAATTGTGTAATCCTCATGAGTCAATGAAAAAACATTATAACCGTCACAAAGAAATGTCATGTTACCTCGAAGATTTTGTCCCAAACCGCGACTGGAGCGGTGAGGATGTTGGATTGAACGCAGTGGCGCAAACCGGGCTTTTCTAGCATCCAACTAAAAACTTGGTACCGCTTTTGGAGAAAGTTGAATCTCTCTTCTAATTCACCATGACTATAAATAATGTCAAGCTCGCCGATGAGAAAACCGCGGCAGTAATCGTAGACCGCACCCCCGAGACGACCATTTGTTTACTGGCCAAGCATATGCGACTCTACTAGCAAGTCAATAAAAATATTGTCGGCCTCCTTAGTCCAACGAGCATCGTACAGGCATTCATCTTGCGTTATAGGGGTGGAAAGGCGAGGCATTGTGTTTGAAATGACCCGAAAATGAAAAAAAATGAAGAACAACTGTATGCAGTTAATGGTTGAATTTGCATGTCTTTGTGTTCTACTTTTATAGTGAAGTCATTGTCTGCAAGTGCAATATCTAACATTGGATTCTCTCAAAAAAATAAAATTTTAAAAACACCTCAAGTGTAGGCCATGTTTTACGGAATATTGGTCATAATGTGAAAAAGATTTTGCAAACCATTTTGCAGTTTGTCTATTAGCACCAAGTTCACTCATGTACTGGGTCATTGATTGACAGTAGATGGAAAGTAAAGGAAAAAGTGTCACGGGGGTTACAGAGGGGTGAGTAGTTTCTTTCTATGTCTGCATGATGAATGCTTTGAAAGAAAAATGCAAAGTGAGTTGATAAATTCAAAATGTAAAAAAGGAAACTGCATACTTACTTGTAAAATAGACTGCATTTTGGAATGTTCGTTCATATATATAANGTAATAAATAAGTAAAACACCACCGTCTACATATATATAATTAAGAATTTGGGGGCAAATATGTCTATGTGCTTCTTATCCTAATTTGGATCTAGGAAAACAAACTAAAAACAAGTTTATATATTATAATCTCAACTTGCATGAATCTAGTAAAACAAACACAGGATGGTTATAATCTCTACACTCCAATCTGGTGTCCTAAGATTAACTTTATCTAATCATGTCTTGCCAAACAAACATGCTCTAAGATAATTATATATCTCGCTCGTTCTTCTTTCTCATGAGCAGAACCGCAGCCATTCTTTTCCTTTTCATCTGTATATCGCGATCGAGCTTGGGAAGATCAGAGGGATTTTCTCTCGTAAATCTTCATCAACCCTCATCGTCTTCATCCATCTCTATCATCTCCTCTCGCCTTCACCCACCCTCGCTGACCACCATCGCCGCCATCTGCCCGCTTTTCCGATCGGTGCTCCTCTGCCATCAGATCGCCGCAAACCACCATCTTCTTCGCCGATTCCCTCGCCGTGAAACCCTCCTCCCGCAACCAGTCGCGGCCCTCGAGCGACGGTCCTCCTTCGCGAGTCCCTTCGCGAAGCTTTTCCGGCGAGCCACCTCCACGGCGGCGACAGCAACTCCGGCGAACCTCTGTCAACGCAGCGACTTTCCGGCGACTCCCTCCTGTCGCGACTACAAACTCGCGCCATCACCATCCTCCGCAAAGAGCCGCTGCAAGCCGTCGTCATCTTCCTCCTCTGTTCGCGAAGAACCTGACTCGCCGGCCCGTTTCCGGCGATTCCCGAACGCAGCGACCCGACGTCGCGTCCTGATCCTCAGCGGGACGTCACTCTCAGCCCTCGACCATCAGCGAGCTCCGTCAGGCGCAAACGGACGAGTTGTTCACTCCGCGAGATAGCCGTCAACCCTTCGTTTCCGTTTTCGATCGAATCCTGAGTACGGTACAAGGCTCGACCCGTCTCGTTTAATTCTATGTATTATTTTATGTGTTCGATTATATGAAATGGGTGTTGAACGTGCTTCGTGAAGTTAAATACGTGCCTTAGTTGAGTAATTGTGAGGATTTTAATATATAATTGCAAATTGGATATCAAAGTGATTGTTGTCACTTTGAATTGTTGTCGAACTGAATTTGCTGTGGTATATTTCGTGGAAATCCTAGAGTTATAGGTACTTGGAGTTGTCCTTGATTTATTGGCTTTGGTTTGAGGTTGTTTCGAGTTATATATAGGGAGTTATGATTTTTCTAAACCGAGCATGCTGCTGAACCGTAATAAATTCACCATAAATCGATTTGTTGTCCGTTTTGGCTAAATGTTTTATATGTTGTGTCTCTAAGTATGTGGAATGTGCGTGTCAAGCCCCAGATTTTATCTCTGAGATTTTGGTGTTCAAATGCTTAAAACGGTTTCTGGGAGGAAACTTGTAAAATTCATTAAAAATCGTACACTTGGAATTTTGAGCTGAAACTTGGACGAACATGTTATTTTGTGTTGTTTTAGGTTGTGTAAAAATTTCAGATTAAAATTCAAAGTGTAGCTATGCGAACCATTAAATGCCGATTATGGTGCTGTTTTTGCTTAAATTATTTAAAAATTCTCCCGGATGAATGTAGGGCTGAAACTTGGTGAGTCTATGTGTTTTTGTATGCTTTATGATGTGGTAAAGTTTCAGGTTTATTGGCTGAGCCTAACTTCTAATTCTGAATATAGTTTATTTTGGAGTCTTAATGCTCGGTTATCTGTTGTTTAGGTTTGGATTGAATTTTACTAATGTTGGCATGATTTATGTGTATTATTTGAGGTTTTGGAGTTGTTTCCAGGTCTTGAAGTCACTCCATAGTACTTAACTCGGTCAAGGAAATCCACGAGTCACTTAGTCGATATGATTTCGGCTAAGTATATGTGCCTTGTGTGTTGTTTTTGTATTGGATAGTCAGTGATAGGTTATTATAAATTTCTATAGGTCCTTCGAGCTGAACTTGTGCCATAATTCCTTCAACTCTGTGTTTGGCCATACCTCTTGCTATATCCAGGTGGGTTTTATTCATGAACTTGCTATGCCTTAATTAATTGTTATTGTTGTGGTATGATCCATGTATGCATGTGGACCATGTAGCCTTCGATGTGAGCTGTACCGGCCGTCGAACGGTTTTCCCCGTAGCTATAGAACGTACCTTCGGGTAGTCTCCTTTATTATTGTTGGCAGTCAGGGCGTGAGCCTTGGCTGGTGATCCTCGTATGTAAGGCCAAGGCGTAAGTTTTGGCATTCGGGGTGGATTTACTCGTGCTGGCCGGGCGCTCGATGTAAGGCTTCAAATAAGGCGTTCGGTATATAGTTCGGCAGTAGTCTATTTTTATAGGTGTGCACATGAGACGATTATTGATTATTGATAGGAGATGGGACGATTAATGATTTGTATACATGCTGCGATCATACCTAAATTGTTTATTGATTATTGCATAGCGGTGAGCACCTTGATTTTCCTATTGTGCTCACCCCCACCTGCTCTTCATGGATGCAGGTTAGTGTTGCGGGCACGGTGAAGGGATGCGAGTGGTGGTCTTAATAATTGATATTGCTTCCGCTTAGAACTGAATATTGCTATTACTGTTTTCTTTATTATTGATTACTGCATTATTGATAGGGAGTGTACTCCCTAGGATGATTTGATTATTGGATTGCGAATTTGAGTATTGATAATTGAGTATTGATGATTGTTTAAGTATTGGTGAATGATTGAGTATTGAAAATTTGGTTAAGTATTGATAACCCGTTTGAAAATGAGTAACGCCTCAAGTGTTTATTGAAATAAATTTGAAAAATTTATTCTAATTTTCGGCAAATAAAAGTGGGGCGTTACATTTAAGGTCACCGTGCGATAGTCTGATGATGTCTCCGAGATGAGCTGGAGAAAGATTATTATGTTAAACCATGCATGTGGATTAAGTTCCGACATAATAATAAAAAATTGAGTGGTACTAGTCTCGGCTAGACATGTCATTGGGTTCGCTAGTACTGTACGAGCTGTACGCAGCGGAATTTAAAATTTTTAAAGTAAGTATTTATCGAATAAATACAACACCCGTACATACTAACTTCCAATTAACTGGTCGTCATCTTTAAAACATGCATCATATACAAATTTTGATTTGTTACTATAAAGTAAATACTAGTAAAATATTTACTGAATGTCTTGAACTCCTTCACAATTGATGATGAATGAGGGAATCGATTCCCGGTTGTAACTTCAACGACTTGAGGTTACTCGCTAGAGGAATCCAAGTGTCTTCCCTCTAAACGTATCCACCCTATGAAGCCCGGTTCCGACGACTTTCCTTCGCTAGTAGAAAAGACTCGGTTTTCTTGTATAGGAATATTTATGAATTTTATTTGGGAATTTTAAGAACTCTTTCTTGAAGTTTTATGAAGAACACTTTCTTCTCTTTCTAACACTTAGAAATTTAGGATCAAAAACTTCACTTAAATGCAAAACCATTTTGCACATATTTATACTAAACATTTTAGCATAAAATAATCAACATTTAGTAATATTAAATAAAATCAAATTTTATTTAAATAGTATTTACTAACTTTTGACTTTGAAAATAATAAGATATGTTAAGTAGTTCAAACAACCATCAACAACCATTTTATTATAATCATATTTATTATTTTAATCCTTAAATCATATTTAAAGATATAAATAATAATTGGATAATAAATCTTGAGAATCTTTCTCAAGACTTTATTATTATATCATTTTCCCAATATTATAATAATCATATTATTATTATTTTGGATTTTTGAAATTTAAAATCCTATTTTAAAATTCAACTTTATTAATTTAGTAATTACCTTAATTACTAAAGTAATATCCAAAATGTAATTAATCAATCTTATTGATTAATATATTCCTTTAATTGATATCTAATCAAATTAGATATTTATCAATTAATTCTAACCATTAGAAATACAATCTTTACCTTTGTTCATAATTAGTGTGACCTTTTAGGTTCACCTTAATACTAGTAGTGGGTTTACAACACTTTGTAATTTGAGTTAAATCTTATTAACTCTTATTCATGAATTAACCCTTTAATTTATGAACCCACATATCATGGTAACACCTAGCAAGTAGCATGAATCTAGTATTAAGTGAATAGCGAGTAAACCTATTCCGATTACAACTCCATACATGTAAAATCCTTTCGACATCTAATTTCCCGATTAAGTCTTGGGTATGATTTT